AGGTCTTCATAAAATTAAACAACCCACTTGGTTGTGGTGAATAATACCTTTCATGTACTGTTGGATCCTGTTGGCTAGTATCTTGGTGAGAATTTTTGCATCCATGTTCATCAGGGATATTTTTCCGTAATTCTCCTTTTTGGTGGGGTCTTTGTCTGGTTTCGGGATCAAGGTCATGGTGGCCTCATAGCTGCTGTATCACTTTCCAGTAGCTGGCTTGGGTAGGCTCCCTCCCCCTGAGGTTTATCTTCCCCTATCGCCTTGCATTCACTTTGCTGCACCTCCTACCTTGCAGAAGGTGGTCGCTTTTCTATTTGTAGAATTGCAGCAAATCTTTTCTTCTTAGATCTCTGGTTGAGTTCACAGGTGTTGAGAATGATTTGATAGCTATCTAGCTGAATTCCAGGGACCAAACAAAACTAAGGTCTCCTACTCCTCCCTTATTTAAATTCTAGTTACCGTATATGGTAAAACTGATTTCAGGTGTAGAATTTAGTGATTCATCACTTACATATAACACCCAGTGCTCATCACAAGTGCCCTCCTTAATACCCATCTCCCATTTAGCCCATCCCTCACCCACCTCCCTCCATCAACCCTGTTTCCCTCCCTTTTTTTTCCATTCCCCTATGTTCATCTGTTTTGTTTCTTTTTCTTTTTTTAAAGTTTTATTTATTTATTTGAGAGAGAGAGAGCACAAGCAGGGGGAGCGGCAGGCAGAGGGATAGGGAGAAACAGTCTGCCTGTGGAGCAAGGAGCCAGACGTGGGGCTCAAGCCCAGAACTCTTGGATCCTGACCTGAGCTGAAGGTAGATGCTTAACTGACTGAGCCACCCAGGTGCCCCTGTTTTGTTTCTTAAATTCCATATACGAGTGATATCATATGGTATTTGCCTTTCTGTGACTGACTTATTTTGCTTAGCATAATAAATATTTTTTACATTTCAGCTTTTAAGTTCAATTAAAAGCAATGAGAATATTGGCAAAAGTTGTCAGAATGAACTTTGTAGCTCTTTATTGAACTTTATTAGAAATTACAACTAGCTATAACCTAGATAAAATCTCTTTGAGTCCTCAAGAATTTTTAAGAGTTCTAAGGCTCCTGAGACCAAAAAAAAAAAAAAAAAAATCAGAGCTGTTGGTATAGGATTGGTCTGGAGCTGTGACTGACAGCATCAATATCACCTAGTGGGGATGCCTAGGTGGCTCAGTTGGTTATGCGTCTGACTCCTGGTTTTGGCTCAGGTCGTGATCTCATGGGTTGTGGGATCGAGCCCTGCGTTGGGCTCTACACTCTGCTGGGAGTCTGCTTGAGGATTATCTCCCTCTGCCCCTTCCCCCCAGTCATGTGCATGCACACGCACTCTCTCTCTGTCAAGTAAATACATCTTAAAAAAATAAAGGGTCATTTAAAAAAGTATCACCAGGGCGCCTGGGTGGCTCGGTTGGGCGACTGCCTTCGGCTCGGGTCATGATCCTGGAGTCCCGGGATCGAGTCCCGCATCGGGCTACCTGCTCAGTAGGGAGTCTGCTTCTCCCTCTCCCGCTCCCCCCTCTTGTGCTCTCTCTCTCTCACTCTCTCTCTCAAATAAATAAAATCTTTAAAAAAAAAAAAGTATCACCAGGAACCTGTTAGAAATGCAAATTATTGGATGCCACTTAGACCCAATGAATCAAATTCTGGAGGTAGAGCCCAACAATCTGTGTTTTAGCAAGCCTTTCATATAATTGTTTTATGCTAAAATTTGAGAATATTCATATTGCATATTCTGTCAGGATGTTTGACAGTGAGAAGAAAAATTGAGTTGTAGCTACTCAGAGAAGGATGGTCAAAGGAAGATTATTTTCAAAATAGAGTATATATAAGCATAGGTTGAATATAAAAAGCAAGGGAGAAGAAGATTGGAGGAGTTGGATAAAGAGGTGTCATATACCAGAAGATGGAAATGAATCTGATCAATACATATATAGGGGGATAAAGAAGCATTTATCTAGTGCCTGCTGCGTGTGTGTGTGTGTGTGTGTGTGTGTGGTATACATATATATGTCAGTATATATAAGTCAATGGTCTGTGCAATAGAGGTAAAAAGATCTATAACGTTAGTATGTAGTACCTCCCTTATAGGAGCTTAAGGTAAATTTTGTGGTAGATAGAGATGTGTAAACAGATGCAATACAACAGGGTAATTGCTTTAAAAGAAATATGCATGATGTTCCACAATAAAACAAAATATGAGCAAGTAACTCTGCTGTGAAAATTAAGACTGAACTTTTCTGGTAAGGAAAGGGGGCATAAGATAGATATTTTATTTTATTTTATTTTTTTAAGATTTTATTTATTTGACAGAGAGAGACAGCGAGAGAGGGAACACAAGCAGGGGGAGTGGGAGAGGGAGAAGCAGGCTTCCCGCCGAGCAGGGAGCCCGATGTGGGGCTCGATCCCAGGACCCTGAGATCATGACCTGAGCCGAAGGCAGATGCTTAACCGACTGAGCCTCCCAGGTGCCTTGCCAAAGAGGTTTCCTCTCTTTAACAATGAGTACCACATAAGAGCAATTAACCTCTTTTATTACAATTCTTGGCACTGGTGGTGGCGTTGACTGCTAAAATTATTCATTTTTGTATACTGTCTTTTAATTTTTTTAGAGAGAGGGGGAGGGGAGAGGGGCAGAGGGAGAGGTAGAGAGAGAATCTTAAGCAGGCTCCACACGGCTCCATCTCACGACCCTGAGATCATGACCTGAGCTGAAATCAAGAGTCAGACACTTAACCAACTGAGCTACCAGGTGCTGTCTTAAAGTTTATGAAATGCTTTCACATCTGTGATCTCATTTGATTCTCCTAAGTTCAATCCTGTGTGGTAGATATTACTTGTCTTTACACTTAAGGAAATTGAGGCTCATTGAGGCTCATAGAGGCTATGACTTGCCTAACTTCACTGAGCAAAGAAGTAGAATTGTCAAATAACTGTGTGGTACACCTGAAACTAATAGAACCTTGTATGTCAGCTATATATTTTTTAAAGATATTATTTATTTATTTGACAGAGAGAGACAGTGAGAGAGGGAACACAAGCAGGGGGAGTGGGAGAGGGAGAAGCAGGATTCCCACTGAGCAGGGAGCCTGATGGGGGGCTCAATCCCAGGACCCTGGGATCATGACCTGAGCCGAAGGCAGACGCTTAATGACTGAGCCACCCAGGTACCCCTGTCAACTGTATTTTGATTAAAAAAAAAAAAAAGGCAGAAAAACTGGGAATCCAAAGCCCATATCCTTTTTACAGCATCAGTATAGGCTGGGCATCATCCCAGATGTAATGAATCAGAATTTACAAGTGATGGGACCAGGGCATGTGATTTTTGAAGAGCTCCATTGGTGAGTCTGATGCTCACCAAAGGTTGCTAGAGCATTACATCATGCTGCCTCTTCTTTAAGACGTCTTGTACCCGAATTCTCTATCTTTTGGGTTTGAAATATTGATTTGTGGCCCAATAAGATGAATAAATTTTCAAAACTAGCTTGAATTATTAGAGATTTCATTTCCACTGAGGTAAAATCTGATTAATGATGGATACTTTATGGATTTTTTACAGCATTATATTGCTTTATATGTTATAAGAACAGAAGACATTCTCCAATATGGGGTTTGTCACTCAGCATTTCTCCTTTATGATGATTTCCTCCACCTTGAATAATGAATCAGTCAGCAAGTATTCATCAAACATCTATTTGTATAGACATGAATAGTATTTTGTAAACTCTGTAGATAATTGAGATTTGGTTTATTGAGGCTCTTGTGTTTACAATTTATTTTTCCCTTTAACACAATTTAGCATTTAAGCCTTAGAGGAGGGTTTTTACTCAGCAAGATGTCAAGCTTAATATTCAGCAGGTAGATAGAGGAGAAAACTAAAAAGAAGCTGGCTTCTTACATTCTTCATCTTTTCTTCTCTCTGCTCAATTGTTTTGTTACCCAAAGCACAAGAGTATTTGATGTCAAATAAGACAGAGAAAAGAACACAGAAAATATAGGGATTTTTCCCCTACGAAGTACTTCATCAAATTATTTTCTTGTATATGTCCATGTTTTTTATTATGCATTTATTTATTTATAAATATTTTATTTATTTATTTGACAGAGAGGCACAGGGAGAGAGGGAACACAAGCAGGGGGAGTGGGAGAGGGAGAAGCAGACTCCCTGCTGAGCAGGGAGTCCAACCCAGGACTCGATCCCAGGACCCCGGGATCATGGCAGACGCTTTAGGACTGAGCCACCCAGGCGGCTGTCCATGTTTTTTTTTTTTAATATGGCTTGTCAGCTAAATTTTTAAATGACTGAAAGAAGCCTCTTCTACAAGTGCCTATGTAATGTGTGAATGATGTTTTCATTCATTTGACGTTGTTCAGTCAGAATGATAGAGCTGACAGGAATCTTAGAGATAATGTTGTCCTGATTTTATGGATGAGGAAACTGAAACCATGAGAGTGTAAGGTTCAAGGTTATATATAATAAATAGCAGAGTAGCTCTTCTGGCTCCAAGATAGGATTGCGCTTACCTGCCTTTCATAGCAGATATTCACAGCAGTTCAGACTATGAGGTTATTGTGAGCCTGTTTTAGGACAAAAGACTCCTATTTAACATTTAAAAATCCTTCTAATGTGGAGATAAATACAAGAGCTATTCAAGTTGGGGAAGCATCTATTAGACGTGGCATTATATCATAATGTACTAACACAAGATTATACACCAGTTTTACCATTTCCAGAAAAAAGTAAATGACTCCCATCACTATCAACTCTTGTGTTACCCAAGATTCTTCTTATTTTTTTGTATTTTGAGCTGGCTATTATGTTTAGCTAGACCAATTAGTGTTGCTAAAAAGATTAGAAAACAAATTAAGACTTTTTAACGAGAGTTAAAAATATGTTGAAATTGGCTTATAGAGAAATAGCTTATTTCATTTTAACCAATTATTGATATTTTTTTCACTTTCTCAGGCATGTGCTCAAGGGGATTTTCAAAGAGCATCTACATGTGTGCTGCGCTGTAAGGATATGTTGATGAGTTTCCCCAAAATGGTGAGTGAAATCTCTGTATTTATTCTCCAAGAGTTTGAAAATATGCTATATCAGGTTCTAGGTAGAATCATGACTACTTCATGCAGCCCTTCAGAGATTATATTTGAGGTCAGTTCCACTCATTTAGCTGATCTTTGAAATATTTTCTTTGTTCTTTACTAGAAAGGGTGTTTAAAAATGCAAAAGGCTATTTCTTAAAATTTCTTTGCTTTCCTTTTTATTGTCAGACCATTTTGATAATATTTCCTCCATGTTTCAAGCTATGTGATGAAAGATTGGAAAAAAAATGAGTTTATTTCCCTGCTGCCAAGGTTGATAGCAGTTAATCATATCACTGCCATTGTATTTTTCTATATTGGGTTGTGGGGGTGTGAGACAATTGATAGGATAAATAAATCCTACTTCCCAGTCTGGTTCTCATCAAAATTCCAGGGTTGATAATTTTTAATTTTTCTACTTTATCTCCCTTTTCTATTATTTCTTTCTTATTTCACCGCTTGTGTCTACTTCACTCTTTACTATCACAGAGGGAATTGATAGATATATTTGGATGTTAGGATGAATGTTCCTAAGGCTTCATGTATTATACCTAGTTGTGAGTTTGGTCTTATCTTTCCCCCAAATTCTGTGTTATAATGTAGAACTTAATTTAGTAAATATATATTAACAATTATATGCTAGGTACTCTTCTAGGCTTTATTTTTGTATTTATTTTATTTAAAAAAATTTTTTTTAAAGATTTTATTTATTTGAGAGAAAGAAAGAGAGAGAGGGTGCCTGGGTGGCTCAGTTGGTTAAGCGACTGCCTTCGGCTTGGGTCATGATCCTGGAGTCCCGGGATCGAGTCCCACATCGGGCTCCCTGCTCAGCAGGGGGTCTGCTTCTCCCTCTGACCCTCTTCTCTCTCATGCTCTCTGTCTCTCATTCTCTCTCTTTCTCAAATAAATAAATAAAATCTTAAAAAAAAAGAGAGAGAGAGAGCATGAACAGCGGGGAGGGGTAGAGCGAGAGTGAGAGGGAGAAGCAGACTCCCCGCTGAGCAGGGAGCCTGATATGGGACTCGATCCCAGGACCCTGAGCTGAAGGCAGACATTTAATTGACTAACCACCTGGGTACCCTCTCTTCTGGGCTTAAAATAAAATTTTTTTTTAATTTAAAAAAATTTTTTTTATTTTTTAAAGATTTTATTTATTCATTTGAGAGACAGACAGAAAGCAGGAGCAGAGGGGAGAGGGAGAAGCAGACTCCCCACTGAGCAGGGAGCCCGATGCGGGACTCGATCCCAGGACCCTGAGATCATGACCTGAGCCAAAGGCAGACGTCTAACCATCTGAGCCACCCAGGCACCCCTAGACAGTGTCTGGGGAGCATGTGACTCTTGATCTTGAGGTTGGGAGTTCAAGTCCCATGTTTGGTGTAGAGATTACTAAAAAAAACTCCATAAAATTTTTAAAAAGTTAAAAAAATTTTAAGGCAATTTCATATTTTTAAAAAACGTTACAAGAATAGTATGAAGAACTCCTTTCATCGTTTGCACAGAGACCTCATTCAAGTTTCCCAAAACTGTCCTCTATACAAAATGGAATCAATCTGGGATTGTACCTAGTCTCTTTCAGTCTGGGACGCTTCCTCACTCTTGCTTGACTTTCGTGACTTCGGCAGTTTTGAAGATTACTAACCAGTCATTTTGTAGAATGCAACTTAGTTTTTTTAATTAAAAAATTTTTTTTAGATATGATTGACATATTGTATAAGTTTGAAGTATACAGCATGTTGGTTTTATACATTTATATATTGCAATATTACTATAGTAGTGTTAGCGAACACCTTTATTATGTCACATAATCATTGTTTTTTTGTGTTGAGAACTATTAAGATCTAGTCGCTTAGTAATTTTGAAATTTATAATACAGTGTTGTTTACTGTAATTACTATGTTGTGCATTAGATCTCCAGAACTTATCTACTAGCTGCAAGTTGCTACCCTTAAGCAACATCTTCTAATTCCCCCACCCTTAATTTGAGTTTGTTCAGAGCTTCCTCATGTTTAGAAAAAATTATGACTCTGGGACCAGAAAATCACAGAAGTGATTCTGTATTCTCCTCATGGCTTCCTGTTGGGTGGCAGACAGGATTTGATTTAATCTGTTATTAATGGTGCTAATTTTGATCTCTTGATTAAAATGGTATCTTCCAGGTTTCTCTAGTATAAACGTATGTATTTTTTCCCTGTGTTATTCATAAGTATTTTGTGGGGTGATACTTTGAAACTATATGAAGTCCAATTTCTCATCCTACTTTCACCATCCATTGATATTTCTTGCCTAAATTAGTACTGTGATGGTTGACAATTGGCTATTTTTCTTTATTTATTTCTGTATTTATTTGAGAGAGAGTGAGAGAGAGCATGAGAGGGGAGAGGGTCAGAGCGAGAAGCAGACTCCCCGCTGAGCAGGGAGCCCGATGTGGGACTCGATACTGCGACTCCGGGATCACCACCTGAGCTGAAGGCAGTTGCTTAACCAGCTGAGCCACCCAGGCGCCCAGACAATTGGCTGTTTTTCTAATTCCATCTTTCTTTCTATATTCATTAATTGACATTCTATAAAAACATTTTTATTGGGCGCCTGGGTGGCTCAGTTGGTTGGGCAACTGCCTTCGGCTTAGGTCATGGTCCTAGAGTCCCAGGATCGAGTCCTGCATCGGGCTTCCTGGTCAGCAGGGAGTCTGCTTCTCCCTCTGACCCTCCCCCCTCTCATGCTCACTCTCTCTGTCTCATTCTCTCTCAGGTGGATGAATGAAATCTTAAAAAAAAATTATTAAAAAAATTTATTGTGGGAAAATATATATAACATAAAATTTGTCATTTTAACCATTTTTAAGCATATAATTCATTGGCATTAAGTACATTCACAATGTTGTATGACCATCACCACTATCAGTTTCCAAAATTTTTCATCACTCCAAATAGAAACTCTGTACCCATTACACAATAACTCCCTATTACCTTTTCTCCACAGTTCCTGGTATCCTCTAATCTACTTTCTATCTATGGACTTTCCTGTTCTAGATATTACATATAAGTGGAATCATATAATATTTATCCTTTTATGTCTGGCTTACTTCATTTAGCATTAATATTTTTAAGATCCACCCATGTCATAGCATGTATCAGAATTGTATTCCTTGCTATGATTGAATCGTATTTCATTGTATGTATGTACCACATTTTATTTATCCACTCATCAATTGATGGATACTTGGGTTGTTTCTACCTTTTGGCTATTGCAAATAATGCTTCTATGAACATTGATGCATAAATATGTTTGAATCCCTGTTTTTATTATTTTTTTGAACCCTTGTTTTTTTTAAAGATTTATTTATTTTAGAGAGTGTGAGCATAGAGAGGGGCAGAGGGAAAGGGAGAGAAGCAGACTCCTGCTGAGCGCTGAGCGCAACGTGGGGCTCGATCTCACGACCCTGAGATCATGACCTGAACCAAAATCAAGAGTCAAATGCTTAACCAACTGAGCCACCCAGGTGCCCCTTGAGCCCTTGTTTTTAATTCTCTTGGATAAATATCTAGTATTGGAATTGGAGGGTCATATGGTAATTCTGTGTTTAACTCTTTGAAGAATCACCAAACTGTTTTCCGTAGCAGCTGCACCATTTTACATTCCTGCCAGCAATGTATGAGGGTTCCAGTTTTTCCATATCCTCACCAACTCTTATTTTCCAGTTTTAAAAATTATTATAGCCATCCTAGTTGGTGTGCAGTGGTCTCTCATTATGCTTTTGATTTTCATTTCCTTTGAAAACCTTTTCATGTGCTTATTGGGCATTTGTATATCTTCTTTAGAGAAATGTCTATTAAATTCCTTTGCCTATCTTTATTTTTTTATTTTTTTAAAAATATTTATTTATTTGAGAGAGAGAGAATGAGAGAGCATGAGAGGAGAGAGGGTCAGAGGGAGAAGCAGACTCCCCGCTGAGCAGGGAGCTCCATGTGGGACTTGATCCAGGGACTCCGGGATCATGACCTGAGCTGAAGGTAGTCACTTAACCAACTGAGCCATCCAGGCGCCCTCTTTGCCTATTTTTAAATTGGGTTATCTTTTGGTTGTTGAGTTTTAAGAATTCTTTATATGGTCTGGATATTAAAGCCTTATATGATTTGCAAATATTTTTGCCCATTCTGAGGGTTGTATTTTCACAGTCTTTTTTTTTTTTTTTTAAGATTTATTTATTTATTTGAGAGAACGTACATGAGAGGGGGGAGGGTCAGAGGGAGAAGCAGGCTCCTCGCTGAGCGGGGAGCCCGATGCGGGACTCGATCCCGGGACTCCAGGATCATGACCTGAGCCGAAGGCAGTTCCTTAACCAACTGAGCCACCCAGGCGCCCTATTTTCACACTCTTGATAGTGTCCTTTGATGCACAAAAGGTTTTAATTTTGATTAAGTCCAGTTTATCTATTTTTTCTTTTGTTGCCTATGCTTTTGGTGTCATTTAAGAAACTTGCCAAATCCAAGGTCATGAAGGTTTTTGTGTTCCTTTGAGAGTTTTACAGTTTTAGCTCTTAAATTCAGGATTTTTTTTTTTTAAAGATTTTATTTATTTATTTGAGACAGAGAGAATCAGAGAGAGAGAGCACATGAGAGGGGGGAGGGTCAGAGGCAGAAGCAGGCTCCCTGCCAAGCAGGGAGCCCGATGTGGGACTCGATCCAGGGACTCCAGGATCATGACCTGAGCTGAAGGCAGTCGCTTAACCAACTGAGCCACCCAGGCGCCCTAAATTCAGGATTTTGATCCATTTTAATTTTTGTGTATTGTGTGAAGGGTCCAAGTTCACTATTTTGCTTGTGGATATCCATTTATTCTAATACCATTTGAAGAGATTATTCTTTCCCCATTGAATGGTCTTCGCACCCTTGTCAAAAACCAATTGACCATAGATTTCAGACTTTATTTCTGTGCTCTTAGTTTTGTTCTCTTGGTCTC